CCCCAAAACCCCAAAACCCCAAAACCCCTGGTGTTATTTTAGGAGTTGAAAATTGTAAAACTTTACAGTAATTACTTAAGCTTCGTATCTGGTGCTTCTCTTCCTTCTGTCTGCTTCGATCTTCTTCTGAGCATCCACCTACAGTCACCCAAATCCTTACCTTGACTTTCTGTGTGACTCGAATGCTTCTCTGCTGGATCTGTGAGTACTGGATTGGCTGTCTCAACTCCACAATAACGGCAACTACGATGGCGGCTACTGACACAGAGGCTATACTCATCACACAGGCTTACTGAACACTCCGAAGACTGCGAAGACCATCACTTTGGAAGCAGTGGCTACAGGTCAGACATAACTTACAATATTCTTCGACCACTGTTTCGTTCACGAAGCTGGTCAGGCACGAGCAGTAGTCGGCTTGTGAGGTGCTACCGCCAGTTCAGGTGCAGTTGGTCTCTACCGAGAGGCAATCTTCTGCGCATCCATCATTCGAGAGAGTGTTTCCATCATCGCAGACTTCGGCTCCGACCCTCATGCTGTCTCCACACACGGGGTAGCATTCGTTAGGGTGGTCTGTGTTTGTGTGGGTATATCCGGTTGGACAGACAATATCGATTGTGAAGGGAGCAGTTGTAACAAACTCGGGCCAAACAAAGTTAGCTGGAGGTACAACAATCCTTGATGTTCCTGGAACTATCCATTCTAAATAATAATAAGTTGAGCTAGTAGTTTCTTGGTAGTGAGCTTCTATGTAGTAGTTAGTATCCTTAGTTAAAGCCATTGAGAAACCTCTCAGTCCATTTGTATTAGAGTTCCAATAATTGATCTTTGCTGTTCCTTCAACATAAAGTCTAGCTCCTCTATCTGAGTTGGTATAAATTGTGTAAGTTCCTGAGATGTTTGGGCGCAGATATGATCTAAACTTAGCACTGATGTAATCATATCTTCCTCAACAAGGATATCCACCACTACTCCAGTAAAAATTAATTTGGGTAGATTCTGCATTTGAATAAAAATTTGATAGATATTCATTCCTATGCCACTCGATCATGACCCTGCCAGTGTTCCTGAGAAAAACCGTCACGGATATCTTGCCTGTTACGCTGAGTATGTAATTGTACGAGTAAGTAGAGTCTCCATTATAAGTCATCAGTCCTTCGTATGGAGTCGGCACTGTGTTGGCCGCTCCGCCCACTTCCGTGCAAGTCGTCTGGTTGGAGTAAGTGCACTCGTTCTGGATCCGGACGTAGAACTTGTCTTCTCCGTTGTTTCTGAGAGCGCTGTTCGAGGCTCTTGAAGTCACAGTCACTGTGTACATTTTGAAAGGCTCGATATTGACAGTCCCATTACCAGCAGCAGTGGAGGTGGTGTTGGAAGCCTGGAGAATTCTCTTGGTGTGTGTCTCAAACATAACAACATCGAAGTCATTAGGATCGAGTTTCATGCTATCATCAAGCTCATATTGCTCATAGCCTTGATCTTGAACTTCTACTACTTTGATGTAATCAGGAGAAGCCACACTCCTCAAAATTTCTTTGCTCAATACGATTTTAAACAAAAGTGTTGATAAAACAACACCAATTTCAAGCATTATGAGTAATCTTAAATTTGTAGATCTCATTTTTATAATTAATTTCAGCTTCAAAATCTTATCTCCATCATGGGGTTTTGGGGTTTTGGGGTTTTGGGGTTTTGGGG